CTAGCTTGAAGGACTACGTGACGCGAATGAAAGATGGTCAAAACGAAATCTTTTACATCACGGGTGAGAGCAAGAAGGCCGTAGAGAATTCCCCATTCCTCGAGAAGTTGAAAAAGAAGGGATACGAAGTCCTCTATATGGTGGACGCGATTGACGAGTATTCCGTGGGCCAGTTGAAGGAATTCGAAGGAAAGAAGCTCGTTTCCGCCACCAAAGAAGGTCTAAAGCTTGAAGAAACCGAAGACGAGAAGAGGAAGCAAGAATCTTTGAAGGAGAAATTTGAGGGTCTGTGCAAGGTGATCAAGGATGTGTTGGGCGACAAGGTGGAGAAGGTGGTCGTATCGGACCGCGTAGTCGACTCTCCGTGCTGTCTGGTGACGGGGGAGTACGGATGGACGGCGAACATGGAGCGAATCATGAAAGCGCAGGCTTTACGTGACGCAAGCATGGCGGGGTACATGTCGAGCAAAAAGACGATGGAAATAAACCCAGAGAACGCAATCATGGAGGAGTTGAGGAAGAGAGCGGATGCGGATAAGAACGACAAGTCGGTGAAGGATTTGGTGCTGTTGCTGTTTGAGACGGCACTGTTGACATCTGGGTTCAGTCTTGATGAACCAAACACATTTGGAAACAGGATTCATAGGATGTTGAAACTTGGGTTGAGCATTGATGATGATGAAGCAGGTGAAGGTGATGCTGATATTCCTGCTCTTGAAGAAGCAGATGTTGATGCTGAAGGCAGCAAGATGGAGGAAGTCGACTAAAAAATCTATTGTTTTTGAAGGTTTATTATTTGGTGCTTTTTGAAATAGTTTGGCAAACTGCTGTTTTTGTATCGTTTGTCTGTTGGGAATACACGTATTTCAGTTTTTTACCGGGTGGCTTCTTTTAACACACACCGACACTTGTTCAACTTAACGAGTTGAGTTCTATAATGTTTGACTCGCTCGTATGGGAGCTTGATTAAATCCTTTCGAGCCTGCACCTTTTATGTGTTTACAGTATAGAGCCAATAAATGAGCCAATTGATCTTGAGTTTAAACTCAATATTGGAAAAGTATTTGAGTTTGTGAACCCCGTAATATCATTCCACGTTGTTTATGAAACGAAAAATGAGTTGTTTGTTTATCTCATGATAGTTCATTAAGAGGCCGTCATTGAATCGTTAAGAGATAAATCTTGCTTGCCTAAAAAAATCTGTCTTTTAATTGTTTTAAAATCTTTTGAATAATTTTGTATTTTGGATCTTACTTATATTTTATTTTGTATTATATAATTAAAGTCTCTTAAGTTGTTCAATGTTTTCAAGTTATCACCAAAAATCATGTCATTTCATTTATTGAAGGGTAAGTTATGATTTTCGTTCATTATGGTTGTTAATAATTTCAATTTTCGTCTTTATGATTTAGAAATTGTGACTTTTGTCCTTGTGGTTTTACAATTTATTGTTCTTTTCATCCTAGGACTAATTCCTATCTTAAGTACAAGGGACCAAAATTATAAATAACTATAAATTACAGGGACCGAAACAACAATAAATTATACATCACAAGGACGAAAACTGCAATTTTTGTACCATAACGACGAAAATCAAATTTTTTTAAGGCCACGGGGATAAAAATCATAATTAACTTCTTATTTAATCAAGTTTTCAGATTTTGATAATCTTTTGATGGTTTGAATTCAGAGTGAGACCAGTCTGTTTTCGTGACACCTGTGAGACCACTTTTATACGTTTGATCTTCACAGCAAAACGTTGTGAAGGTTAAAAAAGCCGAACCTTCACAGCAAAAACACTGTGAAGGTTACCTATACATGCGTTTTGCTGTGAAGTTTCAACTGTAAAAAGGTGGTCTCACGTGATCCCAATAGGTTACTGTTTTAGCTTCTAGAGTTTCGGAAAATATATTACAAAAGATGTACTTTAGACGGAAAACGAAAAAACATGTCTTTGAGAAAGTGCGTGAACAAAATGGCAAATGTTTTATATGCATAATTGACGTCTAATAAAAGTACACAAACAGATCACCGGAGCAAAACTTGTCAAAACAAACCAGAAAGCGTAAACACCATCAGCTATCCTCAACTCTCGAGTGAAAAACAAAGCTCGGGAATGTTGTCGTGATATCCCTGTCAAAAAATGTAACCAACTCAACATCTACACTTCACAAATGAACCAACACGTTCGCTATAACAAAACCAATATATCCAACTTAAGGTGGGGAGTCGGGGGAGGGTAAGATATATGCGGACCTGACATCTGCTACTAAAAGTAAAGTGGTTGTTTCCATTAAGACCCCGACTTGTGAAAGTGTAACAAAGAGAGAATACGCAAATCCGTAAGCATAAGCTAAAATAAAGTTGAATAATATGAGCTTACTTGAGGTACTGAAGGGTCATATTCTTCAAGAGGGACGGATGTCGTAGCACAAGGCTTCTCCATTCTTCCTTATCGATCTTCCCGTCATGTTTCGTATCCGCTTCCTCAAACGTCTAAACAATCACATTCATTTCGAGAATCATCCCTTGGTCGTTGTACAGTTAAAGGCACCGGAAAATGGAATTAGTTGAAGTACCTTATCAATGATGCTCTCAATTACATCACTGGAAAGATTCATGCCAGATTCAGCAAGAGTAGCCACCACCATTTGCTTCACCTACAGTTTACAAATCCAAACAAATTATTCACCTAGCTTGAAGGACTACGTGACGCGAATGAAAGAT